ATAGCAGGCATGATATGTCTGGTGATGGCAATAAAAGTAACCAGCCGGCACCACCTGCTGTAGATGCTTCACTTAAGGACTCCAGGCCTTTGCTTAGACTCAAATTCAAGACTCCTTATCCTAGTTCCTGGGTTCCACATAGCGAGGAAGAGAGAGGATCTGTGAAGGGTCAAAGGTCTAAGAGAAAGAGGCCATCACCCGTGGTGGAAAAGCCTAAACATCATGAACAGGAAGATGTGACAGAATCACAAGATGACAATTTAATGAATGAAATTATGGATGCTAACTGGATTTTGAAGAAGTTGGGTAAAGATGCTATAGGAAAGAGAGTAGAAGTTCATCAGCCATCTGATAATTCCTGGTGAGTCTTCCTTCATACTAGGCAGAAAGAATTTGTTTAGATTTTGGTCCTTGATTCTTTGATAATTATTTCATGATCATGCTTAAATTGTGTGGTCTTGGTTGCTAGATACATTGTTTTTCTGTCGTACTTTGTTACTTTATTATTTTCAGTTCATCGAAACTTTAATACTTTACTGGTCAATTCTCTATTTCTGAATGCATGATATACTTGGTTTACTGTTTCTGTTTATAATTGGTTATAAATTCTACCTTATCAGGCATAAAGGAGTTGTCAGTGACGTTATTGAGGGGACAGCAATGTTGTCTGTTGATCTTGATGATGGAAGGGCGAAGACTGTGGAACTTGGAAAGCAAGGCATCAGATTTGTAACACAGAAACAAAAAAGACTGAAATCTTGATGATCAAGTATATAGATTAAAGCAAAGCTATTGTCTTTGCAGTTCAGAGTTCTCCAAATGTTCTTACAGTTTTGCTAGCAGGTGGGTGAAGGCCCATAGGATATCTGCACCATTGGTTCAGTTGGGGTCATAGTACATCGACTGTTTGCACTTAAGTGTGAATTTGATCTCTGGGCCTCACCAGGGTTCAGATGATAATTTTTCTCTACCCTCAAATGTGCAGCTTCTCTCAGTGGGGAAAAGGTTTTTACTTGCTTCCTCATGTAACCTTAATACTTTAATAGGATGCATTTTGACACAAGTCTGATCTGAATACTAGTGTAGATCGCTATTTTCTTGTGTTTTAGTTTTCTAAGCGTTGTTGTAAATGATTAGGAATACACAGCCTTCTCTATCGTAGCTATGCTGACAAGTTGTTAGCTTCATTTGTACCCTTTAATAATAGTTCATTTATTTTTTCAGCTGCTTAGCAAAAGGTGAAAGGAGTCTGTATCATGGATATTTTGTAGCCTTGTTGCATTATCTTGAGTTCTTGACATGTTTAATGAAATCATGCTTGCTATGCTCACAAATATTGTTGAAATGTTGATGCTGCTAATGTTTATACAAAGTATGTTATTAGTAATAATGTAATACCGTGTTTTTTTTAATACGTAGTAGCAAAATCTCATGAAATTCAGTCTAAATCCTACAAAAAAAACCGTCTTTCTCATAAAGCTGTGTTAAGTCTTTATATCTTAGGAAGTCGCCTATACTTAACAAATAGAAGATACAAGAAGGCTCTTGTTCAAGAAAATGAATGGGTATTTGCCTATTGCTTGCTCAAAGATTGCCCAAAGGTTAATGTACATGAATTAAACAGGGGGTGGTGGCAAATCTAAGAGGAGCCAAAACCCAACACAATCATCTGAGTCAAGGTCCTCTTGGATAGCAAGGAAATGCAAGCCTCCACAGGCCTTCTTTGTTGCTTCCCATGCCTCAGTTTCTTGTGTTGTCTCAGGTGTTTTCTTATACGTAGCATAAATATATCGGGTTGAAATTCCCACAGACAAGAGCAAGCAAGCCCGGGCAGTATCAGCTTCAATGGAGCAGACTTCCAATCCATTCATCCATGCTGCATTTAGAACAAAAATAAGATTAGTTTGGAGTATACAGTGGAGAATTGGGTAGGTTGATGACAGGTCTTGGGCTCAAGGTTTTGAAGCTATCTTTGAAAGGCAGCAAGATTATAACATGGTGACACTAAGTTATACATTATAATTTAGTACAGCTCATAACCATTCTAAGAGAAATATTACTGAAGCGACAAGGATTAAGGGTTTAGGGTTAAGGGATGATAAATAAACAGGTAAGTTTACATTTTCTCAGATTTAAAGCCAGCAGCCCTACTCATACATGTTAGTGATGTTACTGCTACATGCCTACATGCATGGACTCTAAGTGTACAGTTCAATAGAGCAAGGTAGGGAAACTTCTTAATGCATGATATAAGTGTTCCTATAATAAGCTGCTTAATGCATCGGTATCCTCGTTTAGTGCATTCAAGGGGAAGAGTGTCTAACTCTATTAAGTAGCAGTTTCTTGAGCTAATTTTGTAGCAATATGACAATATGACTAGACCTGAATACGAAGTTAAGCAAAGGGTTTAAGATGATTCATACCTGCCAAAGGTTTGGCACGTGAAGACGCAACAGCCAAACCAGGAATTAGTGTGTCATCATCAATATCAATACCAAGCAAATCCAAATCTAAACTAGCACCAAATGCAAATTTCTTCTCCAAGGTTTCCACCTCCTCCCGCACCGCTGAGACAGTAAACTTGGATAATTAGTCGACTATCCATCACCAAATGCAATTATATAAATTTCACAATCTGATACAAAGTATTACACAATGCCCTCTTCTAGGATTGATTACCTGAATAAGGCAACTGGACAAAAGCCCATCTATCTCCGAACAGATTCTCAGGAAGTTCCATAGGAAAAGGGTTATCTAGCACCATAAGAGGCTTTGCTCCTTTCTGAAAGCCTGGATGGCGAGTATAAATGGTCTCATACCGTTCTTCCAACCAAAGAAGCAACGACAAACACTGCAATAACGGCGAATATTAACATCAACTATGAACTTAGTGAACCAAAGACTAGACAGATAAAAATCTTGGAACAATTACAGCAGGAATCTTCCAAAGTATATTGCCAATAGACAGCATATTGCTCCCATGGAGTCAAAATCAGAAAATACCAATCATTGATCACTAATTCCTTTCAAGGAAAACTCAAAGATGATCCTAAATGCTTCTCATTCAATTCACAGAAAAGGAATTTTAACCTCCATGCCAAGATTTCCCTTTTCATTTGACATGTTCTCCATCCATAATCTCATTTCATGAATAAACTAAAATCAATATTCAATACTACCTCCGGTCCCAAATTAGTTGTTCCATTTGTGTTTTGCACGGTTTAGAAGCTACTTATCGCAACATAGAAGTGTAAAGAAATAAATTAAATCAATCATACTAGTACAACAGTTTACCCTTTTACTTGGAATAGGTTTAATTCCAAGCTCTTTGCATGCCTTGGTTATAATGGTCTGCAACTGAGACCTACATAATAATGATCAATCAACATACAACCCAAAATCAGTAAATCATTTCACAGCACAAATTAAAGAAACACACCCCATAAAACTCAAACTTCAAACCCCATTTTTTTTATTTTTTAATACTAAAATCAACAAACAAACTTGAAGAAATTCAGAAAAAAAATTGACCTGAAAAACCGAATTTTCTCAGGAAGAGGGACACCCAATTCATCACAAATGGCAACAATGGCATTCTTCAAAGTAATGCTATTAATAACATTATTGGGGAAATACTTTGTGTATTGTAAAGATAAAGAATTATCACAAACAACAAGTTCCCATATCTTTTTACCCCTAATATCAAGAATGGGTCTTGAGCAAAAATCCAATTCCCATTCAATGATGTTTTCGGGTTCAGTTCCCGGGTCAAGAAAACTCATTTCTGCTGTCGGGTCATCATCAATAACATCTTCAATTGTTTCAGCTTCTTCGATTGAGCTTTCAGATACTGAGTTGACCAGAAAACGGCGTCGTTTGCAGTTTGATGAGGTTTTGAGGGTGGGAGAGTTTGAAATGTTATGAGAAGTTGAAGTACATGAAATTTTTGTGGGTTGTGAAAAAGAAGTGAAATTGGAGATGGGTTTGTAAGGAATTAAAGTAGTTTGGTCTCTGAAGTTGGTAGGATTGAAGCTCAGAGTAGCCATTGAAATTTTTGGTTTGAGCTTACTGATAAGGCGCGGTATAGAAGAAGAAGATGAATGTTATGGTTGGTTCTCTGCCACAGAATATGATGAGCATACCCGGGTTTTTTTGGGTGCCAATCAGGGGCCAGGACCAGGGACCTCACAAAAATAACAAATTAAATTAGAGGTGTCAAAAACCGACTCGATTCTAAAAACAATCCGATTTAATTTTGACTCGTATGAAAGCAATAACTTAATGACTCAACTTTGAAATGACTTGACCCGTGTACCTGAATTGACATCTCTTTTACTTGAGTGAGTGGCAAGATCACTCGTGACGACTTAATAGAGTTTGACATGTTTTAGAAGAAATCTGGTTAATAAATTCAGACAATTTAGATTAGATAAGTCATTTTAAAATAAGAGCTTAGTTCCTTATAAAGAATGACTATCAATATTTGTCTAACATAAGATAAGTTTAGGTAAATTTTTTTAAGTGTAAATTAAGTGAAGTAAATGCACCATTAGCTCCAAAGATGATCCTTGAAAGATTACACCGATTTGTTTGATAACACCCTTTATGAAAGCCAATAAACAATGCAAATATCTTCGATGTAAGAATTTCACATCCCAAAGACCCAAACTATCTTCGCCACAATTTCCAAACAATATGAGTAGTTGATAGTGAAAATACTGTCACTATTGTTATTGAGCTTACATTGGAAAATATCGACAATTCTGTAATGTCATCCGCTTGTAAAATTAACTTTTATGCGACTTTTATTTTTAAAACTTGTATGTACTCCGTAATTTGGAACTATAAAAATATTTCAATAATTTATTACTCACCTATAGTCACCATCATTAAAAAAATTAAAATAAAAATCCACAAATTTAAAATGCTAATAAAAACATAAAAAACCAAAATTTGGACATGAAAATATGAAATCATGTATGGGCTTTGACCCAGATTAGAATAGATAAACGAAGCCCAAAGTAGAGCAGAAGCAGAACCACAAAATCAATTTACATTCTGTATTTCTGTTCAGTTTACGAAAACCAAGAAATTTAACCCGCAAAATTGTAGAGTAGCTTCAGTTTGGTCGTTGTATTTCTGCAATTTCAAACGCCTTTAATTTGGTCGTTGCTTCAGTTTCAAGTAAAACCCTAATTCCTTTTTTAATTCCCTTTATCTTGCTATAATTTTCTATTGTAGTAGTTCATAATTCTGTTCAATTCATATAATTTGTAGAATTTGTGGGTCATTCTGTTCAAAATTATTGGAAACTAAGATATCATTTGTTTGTTCTATTAATTTTAAGTGATTATGTTTCTAGTATTCGAACTAATTGTGATAAATGGGTTCATGATAATTCAAAGTTTTGATTTTTATTTCCTGAAGTTTTTTCTGTGGGTATCCTAAGATTTAGATTCAAGGATCTAATAATTTAATTTTGAGCTCACAAATTATGTATTTTGTAATTTGTATGTTAAAATGTTAATTTACTTTGTTCAATCCTTTATAAAAATTCATATTCTTGTTGTAGCTAATAATATTTGTTATGTGAGTGAACTCCTACATAATATTCATGGAGGCTGTGATCTGATTAGGGCATGATGAGGTCTGCAGGGTATAGTGTCGTAACTTCGTGTGCTCCTGTACTTTGTTTAGTCACTCAAACTCGGCCCCGGTTTTCATCGAATTTAGTACTTGGAAATTCAACATCATCAAAGAGATTATACTGTTGTGGCCAAGGCCACACATTACATAAAGGATCATCAATGGTTGTGGCACGCTACCCTCCTCCCCTTTTCAGGTGTGTTTTCGTCTTCCTTTAGGGTTCGGGTAATTTGATTAACTTCACCAAATTAAATTCCATTTTGACATGAATTTCTAATGTTACTGATTTGATTCCCAGTGTCGCACCAATGATGGAGTGGACAGACAATCACTATAGGGTGCTAGCACGAATCATATCAAAAAATGCTTGGCTTTACACGGAGATGCTTGCTGCAGAAACAATAGTTTATCAGAAGGGCAATCTGGTTAGTGAAGATCCTCTGCTGTTCAGTGCCTTAAACTTGGATTTTATTAGAAACTGTAGCCTAGTCTTCTGTGTATCTATTTTGATCGGTTAGGATTGGAAGGAGGTCTTCCATTTAAAATGAAATTATGTGCTATGGTATATGCTTTGTGCTTCTATAGTATTTAAATATGAAATGATGTTTTTTTCTAGCAATGTGTCATTTTTTGTTTACTGGTTTCCATATTTCGTACTTACATATAGGTGTGGGAGTATGTTTCTTTACAAGTAAATACTGAGCGCTAAAATCTAAATTATTTTGGCTATGGAACAATTTTATGAGGCATATTTTCTCTTTTTTGGGGCATTGATTGGGTCAAATATAATTTATTTTTGAAATGTCCAGGACAGGTTTTTGGAATTTACTCCAGAGCAACATCCTATAGCTCTTCAAATTGGTGGGAATAACTTGGAGAATATTGCAAAAGCAACCCAACTTGCTAACGCTTATGGCTATGATGAAATTAACTTAAAGTTGGTGCTCAATATCTTTGTTCTATTTTATTTATTGATGTTATTTGATTAGTTTCATTATCTTCTTTTATTTGACTGGTATCTGTTGATCTTTGTCTTACCTAAATTATGTGACCTTTTTTTCTTTTTATCAGTTGTGGATGCCCTAGCCCTAGGGTTGTTGGACATGGATGTTTTGGCGTGCGCCTGATGCTTGATCCTAAGGTTAGAAACTATCTTTACTGACTTACTGAACTGCAAAAGAAGATTACTTTTTGTCAATTTTTTGTTAGTAAGAAGAATCCCTAATGTTATTACTCTTTGGCCTTTGCAAGGAAAGTTTGTCGGTGAGGCCATGTCAGTTATTGCTGCCAATACAGATGTTCCTGTGACTGTCAAATGCCGCATTGGTGTTGATGATCAAGATTCTTATAATGAGCTGTGTGAGTGATTTGCTTTAAGCATCATTTGTCTTCCAAATAATCAAAATTTGAGCTTTCTGTTTGTAGAATTGTAGTCCAACTTCTTAGGTCTCTCATTCTCTCTGCCCTCCTCTCCTCTCTTCCTTATGGTTTCTGTGGACTGGTTTTGTTTATAGTAACTCTATGTGGCATTTGGAAAAAGGACTATATCTTTACTATATGGCTTTCTTGTTGTCATTTTGAAGATTTTGTCGGCTTTCATCTGGTGTCTGATAAATATTTGGTGAAACTTTATTGTGATGTCCTCTGATTAATTTTTCAAATTGCTACTTTTCCTGTTATTCAGGCGATTTCATTTATAAAGTATCTTCGACATCTCCTACCAAGCACTTTATCATACATTCGCGGAAAGCACTTCTCAATGGCATTAGCCCAGCTGAAAATCGATCAATTCCACCACTCAGGTAAGTAATAGTATTTCAAATGCTGCCTCTCGGCTAGAAGCTAGACTAATTTAGGTTGAAGTTAATGGTCAAATGAGACCTCTTTGAATTAGAGCTGTATTTGATAGTGCTGTGCACTTGAACTGATGACTGATGGGGTAATTCAATGTTTGTTACACAGATATGAATTCTACTATGCTCTAGTACGTGACTTTCCTGACTTGAAGTTTACAATAAATGGAGGCATAAATTCAATTGAAGAGGTAAAACTTTTGTCTAGCCCCTTTAGTAGTCTTCTGATCATTATGCTAATTCTGATCTTTCACTGTCTAGCCGTGGTAGGTGTTTTTTTTCTTCTTTTTTTTTTTTTTTTTTGGTTGGGGGGGGGGGGGGGAGGAGGAGGGAGGGAGGAGTTAAGTACTTCCATATCAACAATGCCTTTTTATTGCATTGCCTGATGGGTCATCCCCATTTGTTGTCCTGTATTGACACCTATGCACCGGTTCACACTATCTGTGAGCTACCTTCACAATCTATTCTAGCTATGAAGGTTGCCATCTTTTCATGATATATCACTCGTAGTTATTCACCCTTGGTTTATGTGAAGAATGGTCCAACATGCTTTAATTTTTCTTCAGTAAATTAGTTTGCTTTAGTTTATCCATGGAAGCAATGTATAGGTCAACTTCTGTGGGGTTTAGTACATGTTATTTCTTAGTTGATGACAAGGCCCTGTTGTATACTCTACCATGCACTTGTGAAAGCCATAAAAATAGAGATTATGCCTTTAATGTTGCATTTCAATAAATGGGCTGTGAGCATTTACTTGTACAGCTTTTTAGCTATAAGCAACTGACTATACCAAATGTGTCTTGTGAGCTAAACAGTATAGGTGCAATTTTTGTGTTTATGTTTGTGATTTTATCTTCTTTTGTCTGATGTGCAGTCTTAATGATTTCGTGTCTCTCTTTTGTTGGTGATTGTTATATCGGGAATCTAATTTTTTTTTTCCTCCTTATGTCTTTTTATCTGGTTCAAAGGTGAACGGAGCACTGAAAAAAGGAGCTCATGGTGTAATGGTTGGGCGTGCTGCCTATAATAAGTGAGTATATCTTGTGTTGAAACATTTTGATGCTAGGTTTGGAGTTTTTCCTGTATTTGCTACGGTTTTTACATGTATTTGCTATTGGCTGTTTTTCTGAAAAACTATAAAACTATGTCAATATTGCAGTACATGGCAATTGTTGAGAGACGTTGACACTGAAGTCTATGGTGATCCTCCATCCGATCTTACACGTCGTCAGGTTAGCAGTTAGTGGTTACTGGTTAGCCTTACAGATGGAGTCTGCATCGTTGTGATTGACTATGTCTTTGATATCTTGGTCATTTATTTTGCTGATCACTTTTGTTGTAGGTTTTGAAGGAGTATCAAGAATATGCAGATTCCGCGCTTGGCAAACATGGCAATAACAGACCAAATGTTCGGGATTTGGTCAAGGTAAAAAATTATTGGAGTATTTATTTTATTTATTTGCCTTTGGCTCAATCCTATTTGAACTTCTCTTAATTGAGATGTGTCTATTGTTCAAGGATTAAACAAGTGTAGAATGCTACTGATTTTTATTTTTCAATGAAACCCTTATAGCTGCTGGACTCTTGTACAGTTTTTTCGTAATTAATCAAACTGCAAAAATCATAGCATTTTTTTTTATTTTCCTTATCAGACTGATTGCCTTTGAGGCATAAATAGGAGCTTTGCTTCAATTCCTTTTAGATATCTGCACTTCGTCTCCATTTTTATTTATAAATATAATATTGTCCTTCATCCCCTGAACTGTTTTCTCCTGTTTATTTGTGTGAAACAGCCTTTGTTGAACCTTTTTCATTCCGAGCCTAGAAATGCTGTCTGGAAGCGCAATGTGGATGCTGCATTTTTCCATTGCACGGTACGCATGTCATTGAAATTCATTTGCTTATCTGTTGCTTACTGAAAAATCTTTTTGGGAAATGTTTCTCTCTCTATGGTCTGGGAGATATAGAGCTATTATGGCTTTCTCCATCATCACAATAAGTGTACATTTTTCGACAACCATTTTGCTACATCTGCGATATGCTCACTCATTATTGAATTTTGCAGACAGTTAAACAGCTCCTTGAGGAGACATTGCCCATTATTCCAGACTACGTCCTTGATTCACCTGCTGCTAGGGTGCCACCCAGCCGTGGAGATATATTTGCAAATGTGGATGATCTCATGCCTCCCCCATATGAATCAAGTGAACTGGAGCTACAATATGCTTAGTTTGTCGTAGGTTGAGTTCTTATAGATGATAGCTACCATTAAATTAGTATACACAGTATATTCATCATTCTTTGGAATATGATCTATGTCCTTAGACCCTAGTGATAGAATGTACTCTATTTTTTGCACCAAACAAAGAATTTTAACAGTGTAATTTGGATATGAAGAAAATGGTAATGCAAATGCAATCACCTTCTTCACTCTATTTTTTCTTTTATTATCTTTCTTGTTAATTTACACTATGAATTTTGTGACTCAATGTGAATTTGATTGTTGACGGGTCGAGTCATCTGACGGCCTTGTTTTGCTATGTATAATGGCTGTTGGCCGAGGTTTTGGATCACTAAACAACTTTCAGGCCTTGGTAAATTATATGCCACGGCTATTATCTCTACGGTAATTTTTATCTACTATGATCGGGCACGTTAGATCTTTTAGATGATATACTGTATCTATCTTAAGAAGAACCGGAGTTTATTTGACGTGGCATTTCTACGCCATAGATTTTTTTAGCTAAATTGCTTGTGATATGCCAAGCACCAATGCCAAATTGCCAGCTAGGACAAAATCAACATTGACAGGTGGCAGGCAGTTGTTGGTCAAGTATAATACAGGGATAAGATGCTAAATTGTCACCAAAAGTTTCAGGTTGAAATTAAGCTAAGCTATCCTCTTCCTCTGTTCAACACACACACTCACACTGAAACACACACTTCATTTTCAGACACCAGAAACAGAACATTCATGGCTTCAATCAGCATGTCAGCATCTTTCCTCGGTGGCGCTGCCGCTATCTCCCCTGCAGCTGCTTCCCACCGGAGGCTTGTCATCACCAACAGTGTTAAACCCAACACTGTGAAGGTCAGCTGTGAGACCAACCAAGAGGGCAGCAACAATGGAAGGAGAGACATAATATTCGCTGCTGCAGCTGCTGCCATTGCTTCTGTTGCCGGTGTTGCGATGGCTGATGAACCAAAACGTGGTTCCCCTGAAGCTAAGAAAGCTTATGGTCCTGTTTGTGTCGCCAACCCAACTGCTAAGATCTGTAATAACTAAAAATATTCTGCAGTTTTTTTTATTACTATTCTGTATTTCAATTTTCATGTGGATGATTATCATTATTAATGTAATTTCTTTACTGCCTGATGTTTAATTGAGAACTCTGCTTATATAATATGATTAACATCTTGTCAGTATTACATTACTTTATTAGTCTTATTACCTTCTGTTATGCTGCCTTAATTCAGTTTAACTGCTCTTTTGCTTGATCTTCCTGTTTAAATCCTGCCTTTTCATTCAAATTCCAATCTCTTTGTATTCTTTGTTTATTGCTGTTGTTAACATCAATCAATGCATGTCTTTTCGCTTTACCTTTGCCTGTGTTTTCTCTCCTTATATATCTCTCGTTTTACCATCGTCTATTTGCACTCGAATTCGTTTTTATACTCTAATTCCTTAATACATTTATCATGGCAGCATTTTCTTCTGTAATTTTGCATTGTTCATTCTTGTTTATCTGTCTTTCTTCCATACTAGCAGTAGCACTAGGTTTCACTGTAGACCTCATTCACAGAGACTCCATCCTATCTCCTCTCCATAACTCCACCAAGACTCATTGGGAGCGGCTAAATGATGCCATTCGCCGCTCCACCACCAGGGCCAGTCACTTTGAGGTGTTGGCCTCGCGTGCAATGGTCCAGTCCCCGGTGATTCCTGCCAAGGGGGAATACTTAATGAACATATCAATAGGTAGTCCCCCGGTTACCATGCTTGGGATAGCTGATACCGGGAGTGACCTCACTTGGACCCAATGCAAGCCTTGTGTTCAATGTTACAAGCAGAGATTACCAATCTTTGACCCCAAAAAATCATCCTCTTTTAAGCCAATACCATGTGGATCCCCTCGTTGTTACACAGACTTGGCGACTAGAACGTGTAATTCTAATGGTGATTGCTCTTATTACTACTCCTATGGGGATAAGTCCTACACAAACGGAGTCCTTGCCTCTGAGACTGTCACCTTCGGGTCTCACACACCCTCGTTTCCAGAAGTGTTAGTTGGGTGTGGGCATGAGAATGGAGGCACCTTCAACGAGCTAGGGTCCGGCATAATTGGGCTTGGGGGAGGTACACTATCTCTGGTGTCCCAAATTAAGCCTACCATTGGTGGGAAGTTCTCATATTGTTTAGTACCCTTCTTTAAAACTGACTTAGTTGGTAAGATCAGCTTCGGACCAGAGGCCTTAGTCTCTGGTCCTGGGGTGGTTTCGACACCTCTAGTAACAAAAGATCCATCCACATTCTATTATCTGACTTTAGAAGGCATATCAGTTGGAGATGTTAATTTTGAGTATAAAACATCAGTCTCTTCCATGACAAAAAATAGTAAGTATACTGAGGAAGGTAATATTATAATTGATTCAGGAACAACATTAACACTGTTGCCTGAGGAATTCTATCAGGATATAGAGGCCGAGTTGAGGAAAAACATTAAAGCCGAATCTGTTGAAGATCCGGAAGGAGTAATGTCATTGTGTTACAAGAGTGAAGAGGATATGGATGTTCCGGTAGTTAAGGTGCGTTTTGCTGGGGCTGAACTCGAACTCAAACCGTCACATACTTTTGTTAAAGTGCAGGAAGATATGGTGTGTCTAGCAATGTTACCAGCAAGTGAAGTGGCCATATTTGGGAATTTGGCTCAGATGGATTTTCTTGTAGGGTATGATCTTGAAGAGGGCAAAGTCTCTTTTAAAGCAGCTAATTGCTCTCATCACCTTGAATTATAAGTCTTTAGTCTTGGTTGGTTTTGGTTATTGTGGAACTTTATATGATGTTTTCCACTTAATTCCTAGATGTTTAATCAATAAGATTAGGTAAGTTAATTATCTAAATCTTGAATTTTCTTAAGCAAAGTTTATGTTTAGCAATCATAAGTAATGAGATGGCAAATGTGAAATGTTAATCACAAGTTTGTAGGACAGTTCATTTCAGTTATTACTTGTTGACTCTAATGGTTTGTTTCAATTAGTTCATTGATTTGCTAAGGTACAATCTTGTTTTCTTTTTTTCTTGTTGGATATAAAAGACTAGTCATAATAACAATGGAACACAAGCACACTTCTATGACTTAAGTTGAGTCAAGTGAACTCGAGTTGAGGTTCAACGAGTATTAGTCAATTTGTGTTCAAAACTTCAAATTGATCAATTGACATATCTAGGAGATAGTATTTGCCTACTTAAATTAAGTGGATTGCTAAACATCGCCCGCATATCTCCACATAAAGCCCGCAAACTTATATTGAAGTTACAATATTGCCCTTGACCTTAAAAAAAAAACACAACCTCAAAAAAAATCAAAGTACGGGGATGTCGAGGCGGCAAGGCAAAGAGTTGGCGGCGGCTGTGGAGGAGGGAGGGTTGGCTCGTGGCGACAAGGTGGTGGTGGCGCCAGGTCCGCCAGTCACTGTGGCTGGGCGTCCTGCCTAGACGCCAGGCCGGTGGACGTGGCTGCCGGACCTGGCGCCACCACCAGCCATCGGCCGTCTTGGCCAGGCGCCCCACCACCAATCGTGGTTGTTTTGTTATTTTTTTTAAATTTTTTTTTTGTTTTTTTGTATAATATTTTTTTTTGTTGGAATTTGAGATTTTTTTTTCTATTTTTGTGTAATATCATATTTTTTTTTGTTGGAAATTGATAATTTTTTTATTCTTTTTTGTGTAATATTGTGTTTTTTTTTTGTTGGAAATTGAGAAAAAAAATTTCTTTTTTTTTTTAATATTTTTTTTTTGTTGGTAACTGAGAAAAATTTTTATTATGAATTTTAAGCAAGTCAAATGTAAAAAAAAAAATAAAAAAAAAATTGGCCGGACCACCACCTTGGAACCGGCGCCTGGCCGGGACGCCGCCACCATGGTGGTGGCGCCTAGCCGGGACGCCAGTACCATGGTCATGGCGCCTGGCCTGGAAGCCTCAACCATGGTACAGGCGTCCTGGCTAGGCGCCACCGCCATGGTGGCGGCGTCCCGGCTAGGCGCCGGTGCCACGGTGGTGGCGGCTCCTCCGAACGCCAGCCGTCTTTTCCGATGACATTCGTCGTCCCCCGGATCTCCGGCCTCCCCCAGCGTCCCCGTACAACTCCACATTTTTCGGTGAGTGAAATTTTCGTTTTCAGAGAAAATTGACAAAGGGGCAAAACTGTCAAATCATATTAATTTTGTGGGCTTTATGTAGTAATTTGTGGGCGATGTTTAACAAATCCCTAAATTAAAACAACGATTTACATTGTTGAAGTAAAATCAAAAGGGAAAATACAAGTTAATGTTCCAGATAAACGAATTTTTGTTAATCTGATGACATTTTTGTAAATATATTGAAAAAGCAGGGTCATTTATTCAGTACTTTTAGTGAGCTGTCCAATTACTGTTTGCTTTTTGCTTTTACTGTTTGGTGAGGAAATTACACATGTACTCCTCAACTAGTACATGAAAGACGCATATACCCCTATCTAGGGAATTGACTGGGTATTGCTCAAATCAAAGTAGGGTTTTCTTTTCTTCTTCCTTTTTTCGAAATGAGAATTAAGAGCAAGTCAAATACTATGGTCGAATGCAAAACGAACTCTAGTAAATTTCTAGTGAATAAAAAAAATTCAATATACAATTTACTATATACTCGTATTCTACATACATACTCAAAAATAAAAGAGACATACGTGTCAATTAATTTGAAGTTACGGCCTTATTTGGTTGACATATTAAAAAATAAATAAAAAATAAAATAAAATTAAGGAATTAAAAATTCATGGAAATTGATAAGATGAGTAGTTGTTTAGTTGATACACAAAACAAAAATGACCGAAATGAGAATTTATGGGAGTTTTAACTTTCCTCAAAAGAAAAAAAATTCCCGAACCCTTTTTTTTTTTTTTGGTGAAGGAGAGGGGCAAGCTGTAAGCCCCTAAGAGAAAAGAACAACCATAAACAAAAACATCACAAACAAAGAACATAAAATGGAATAACAAACATTCCCTAACCCTCTTTGGTACACCAAAATTCATAGAAATATCAATTTTCCTTATTAACAACTAGATCTGGTTATTGAGCGGGTCGGGTCAGGGTCGGTTGCGGGTCAAGGTCAAAGAGGGTCAGATTTTATAGGGTCAATATAGGGTCGGGCCAAGGCGGGTCGCGGGTCGATAATGGGCGGGCCTACAAAATATCAATTAAAATAAATATTGGACAAAGCCATTATTAAATACATATGAATACAAATTAATCTATATAATTATTTTTACATTATGTATTTTCTTTATCAACTAAATTGGAAAAACATGTTGGCCTTATAATGACCCTACCCAATAAGGGCCTTGTCCATTAATAGCCATGTCCATTAAAAGTCCTATAAGCTTGGCCTGACCCTATTATCATTGGGCTACCCTGTCCAATAAGCACCTCTATTAACAACCAAACAAGTTTAATTTTAATAAAAAAAAAAGAAAAAAAAAACCAAACAAGTTTAATAAAATCCCTTTAAATTGAACCAATTGAACCAAACAACACCGTACAAGATATGGAGCTCTTTCCCAAATTAAAGTCAAGAAGAACCGCAATTCCCAAATTGCAGCCAAAGTTTTAAGAATTCCCAAACTACCGTCCACGTCACCGGTTCAGGGGGAAGAAATTTTAAATCCGGTCTACAGCAAAACCGCTACCTGAAGTAGCGGTTTTTACTAATAAACCGCTACTTCAGGTAGCGGTTTCTTTTTAATAAACCGCTACTTCAAGTAGCGGTTTTTGTTTAATAAACCGCTACTTCAAGTAGCGGTTTTCTAGCAGGTATAATTTCCTGATTTCACTTTCCTCTTTCATTTTCGTCTTCTCACCAAAATCCCATCCACGCCTTCCACCAAAATCACACCTCCTTCAACGGAAGCCGGCGCAGCCAAGGAATCCACCGACGCCGCCGGAGCATTCCTCAGCAACGAAGGCCGCTGCTGTTGACGCCGAGGGTTCGACTTTAGTGGTCGGCTTCGCTAATTTCAGAAGAAACGTGCTGATCTTCTTGTTTGTGGTAAGTGCCCTAATTATTTTTTGTATTCAGTTATTGGGTTTGTTGTTGTTATTGAGTTTGTTGTTGTTATTGAGTTTCAGAATTGTATGTATGTGTTGTTGTTGTTGGTTTTGGTTGTGTTGTTGTTGTTAGTGTTCTTGTTTATTGTTGTTGTTATTGAGTTTCGGTTTTGGTTGTGTTGTTGTTGTTAGTGTTCTTGTTTATTGTTGTTGTTATTTAGTTTCAGAATTGTATGTATGTTTGTGGTTGGTTTTGGTTGTTGTTGTTGATTTACTTACCTTACATATAACCCTTGTAGAATTATTAATGGTTTCGATCACATTACTCAGTTTAGGTTGCTATAATTGCTGATTTTGAAAGTGAAAATAGAGCTTCTATACACAAAGTATATGAGCTCAAAGTACATGTAGTCATGACTTATGCCCATGTTGAGCTTCAAGAGGTATTAAGACCTTCATAGCTCAGTTTAGGTTGCTATAATTGTGTAGTTTGCTTGCTTGATGTTAGGACATTGCCACACTGTTAATGAATTTTTGCAATCTAATATCTTTGATTAATAATGGTCTTTTCTAGAATGAAACATGGAGGTTCCGAACTACCCTCTATATTGCTATTTGGGTGGAGAAATTGTCCACAAAGATAGCGATATAACGTATAGGGGTGGGAATCAAAAATTTGTGTTTGTACATTCTGCGATGACATATTCACAAGTTCTGAACAAGCTATATGAAGAATTGAGTGTTGATCCTAGAGGTGTGGAGTTGAAGGTGGTTATGCGTTATTGGGAGTCCTTCGTCAGTTCGGGTTAGATCCACCTCCCAGACCGAGTCCTTCGTCAGTTCGGGTTAGACCAGCCGATCCCACAGGATGTAGACACGGACGTTGCTTTACACAGGAAGGATCGAAGGGGACAGCGTAATTGGGAGATTCGGCATTCGGACCATGTACAGGAGTGGAGTCGACGAGAGGCATTAGTCGTCCAGGGATACCCGTTCACTGGGACTTCTTCCCCGGCCATGACAGAGTACATCACGAGACTGGTCATTACTCCACCTTCGCAGGAGCGCCCCCCGAGTCATTACCAGCCAGCTACCTCTGACCTCCTGCTTGTATGAACTTCACTTCATTTCAATCTAGTTCTTACGTTTTTGATTTCATTTTACTAACATTAAAACTACACTTAAATGTAGGTACATGCATTTGCTGATTTGCACGTCCAGCTATCGGGAGCTACTGAGACCATCTCCCACTTGCCACCAGAGACGGCTATACCATTTGCCATACAGACGATGCAGGGTTTTACATCATTTTGTGGCCAAACCTTGTCTAGGGTGGGGCAGCCACACCTTATTCAGCAGCCTCGACCGTCCACGTCTTCATCTTCTACTGTGCACACTATGCCGATCAGACCACCAACTCATCGTGGAGGCCATTCAGCACGTGCCTTCCGTCCACCGACTCCTTCTCAGCATACTATCATGACATCTCCTCCACTAGTGCATCGCCAGTATCAGAGAAACCGACGGCGTAGCAACACTACGTCTGGGGTTGGAGTTGGCCTGGATGACATTCCAGAGGAGACAGCTGCATCATCTTCATCGTCACCTCATGGGAAGAAGCAACGCCCGAGCTAAGTGTATATTTTGGAACTAAACTAATTTTTTTGTAAATGCTTAGAATTGGATTTTGTTATATTTAATCAATTGAAAAATATTCGACTTTGCAATTTCGACTTCCTTAGATCTTCATAAACTTGTTATTTATGGTGGTTGTGTTGAAAATATGCTATATATCTCATGTTTTACAGGTACACAACTTGCAGGTTTTTTTTTGAGTGATTATGCAAGTTTGAAAAAAAAACCAGTCCAGGGTAAACCGCTACTTCAAGTAGCGGTTTTTCAAAGTAAACCGCTACTTGAAGTAGCGGTTTTCCAAAATAAACCGCTACATAAAATAGCGGTTTTTTGTAAACAAACCGCTACTTCAAGTAGCGGTTTTAAACTAAGAAACCGCTACTTGAAGTGGCGGTTTATTGCAAAGAAACCGCTACTTCAAGTAGCGGTTTACCCTGGACCGGAAAAAAAAAAACCGATTTTTTAACCAGTGCTTACGTGGACGGTAGAATGGGAAAATAAAAAGATTTGGCTGCAATTTGGGAATTGCGGTTCTTCTTGACTTTAATTTGGGAAAGAGCTCCAAGATATGGGAGTACCTCTATATCATCATTTTCCTAATTCTAAAACCTAGACAATTTATTTAAAATACTAGTATACTGAATTAGAAACACAGATTTTGGGGTGATCATCATTCGTCATCCCTTCTCCAAAATTGCAGACATCTTACTTCTCTTACCTTCTTCCTCTACTTGTGTTATACTACTCAAAGCTTGAAGATTACGAACAACTTCGATTCCAGAATCAATGGAAACCGAAACCCTAGACATTTCTGCTACTAATTTCAATTCATCATGGCCGATCATTCATGGTTCTCTCGAAGATGCTATTACTTCCGAGTCCTCAATTTCTTCCGTTGATTCTGTTCCTGCGCTTAAACCCCCTCTTATCCTGCGCCGTCCTTCACCGGATTCCGGCCCCTGCGAGATCACAAGTAAATTTTTTTATTTTTTTTTTTTCGAATTGATTATACTATTTTCATCATTTTCTGATTTAATTGCTCATTATATGTTTTTTTTTTTTTTTTTTTTTTTGGCCGAATTGGTTAGGATTTTTGTAATTACTGTATAATATAGCTTCTTTTGATAGTAGTAATCAAGTTGTTTGTAATGCCTGATTGTATTTTTCGGATTGTTGTATTGATTACAATATTCAGCGTTGAGATGGCGATCAATTTTAGAATCATATATTTTGAATTATATTTGCGAATTTTTAGCTTAGTCAATTTCAAAGAACCATTAACAGGATCTTTATTGCTGGAATTTTTAGTTTTTATGGGTAGAATGAAGTATGAACTTGTGTAATCTCTTCAAATGTACTCGTAGGATTTAATTTGTTAGAGTGTACTCGTAGATGGGTAGGAATAGATTAATTGGGTAGTCAACTTCAAAGAATCGTTAACATCGCCTTTAGTGTTGGAATATTATTGTTTCTTTTGGGTAGGATGAAGTATTAACTTATGTAATCTCTGTAAATGTAGGACTTAATTTGCTGGTGAGTACTTGTAGATGGGTAGATATAGATCCTGGATTTAATTGAAAAAAGGAGGTACAAGGTCTTAAATTTCTAGAAATGACCTAGACTCAAGTTGAGTTATCCACCCCGCAACCTACCGTGTATGAGGGATTTGACTCCCTAAGCTATTGGTTTTTCCGATATTTTCATTACAACAGCCCTCTTGATACTTGTAAAAAGTATACTGCAGGTCTATAATTCTATGTTCTTGCATGAGATGATATCATGATATAGTCCTTCATTGCCTTGATTTAAACTGATGATGTTTTACATAGTGTGCCTGTGAGACAGGCTTTTGTAGATTTTACAGAATAATGTATTAGTTGTTAACTTCAACAAGAATATAACGAGTCATAATTTGAATGATGTTAGAGACAGGAGGGAGATACAATGAGAGAAGAAATCACATTTGAGCATGAAACATTACTAATCTCCTGTGATTTGCTGGTGTTTCTAAAGAATGCTCAATTTTTAGTTCTATTTATTCATTTTTTTTAATGAGATTTTTCATATTTTTAATTTATAACAGTGGAAAGAGCTTACCAATTGATCTTTTTCTTTTGTTTTATTTGTCATCCCCTTTCGCTTTTACTCTTTTGCACTAGGCTTATGCTTTTATTTCCTTTTTCAGTTTCTTTTACCCAGCAACATGAAATCAAGCAGGTCTATGTCCGTAGTACTGCTAGAGTCTATGAAATATACTATTCTGCTAATGAGAAGGGTGAAAATGAGTACCTATGTACAGTTCGTTGTGGGGTTGCTGCTAAAAGTGAAGAGCTACTGCAAGAGACAGATGGTGTAGGATCATTGCCTATAAGTTCTTGTAGCCCCAATAGTAGTTCTTGTGATGGCCATTTAAGATCTGATAGTGGAGGCAGCACCAACGAAGATGACTGGGTGGATGTGAAAGTGCGAAATTCTGCTATGCTTGATGAAGGCACACCTCTGTCTAAAATAGATGAGAGCTGCATGGAACGAGGCAATCAGGTATTTCTGATTTACTGCAGATCTTTTTGACCGATTGATATAGAAGTTAGGTTTAGGTTTGGTACTTATTGAGTTTTGGTTCTCTGTATATTGGATCACTTACTGTTATTTGGACAAAAATTACGTAGTATTTGTCAACTGTGGCCATTTCTTTTTTACTTTCAGCCTTTTAAGTCCACTTTGGTCGACTAAGACAGAACAGTAATACCTTGTCCTCTCCTATTATAAGAAATTGTGCAAAAGTTGAACTCTTAATTAAAACACAAATATGATTTAACTTTAGTAAATTATTCTTATTTCTCGCAATTATTTCATTCCTATAGATTATTCTTTGTGGCTGGCTTGTGGTTGACTTTTAGTTGTGTCAATATCCCATCGATTAAATTTTCAGGACTACTTTGAGGCTACTGCAGAGATATCTGATGCTGATCCGTTCCTGTCCATCACTCTCCGTTTGCTGTCTATCCAGAGTGGAGATTGCATTTACATAGATGAAGTTTATGTGTTTGCTGATCCTGTAGTATCAATTGATACTAATTCTTCGACTAACGCACCAGAATCCTCTTCTGAAAGTGCTAAGATGTCCTTGCTCATCCCGACACTTTTGAGCCTATCTAATATTCGAAGGAATCAAATGCAAGAACAAAGTGATTCTGCTGTTGGAGAAAGGAAGCACCAAGATACTGGAGTCAAGTCAACTAGTACGTTTGTGTCTTCTAACACCTCTCAGTCTGAAAGTATCCAGGGAACCACATTAAATAGTGCACCTGTACACATGTCCCAACCAGAGTTTCCTATGCAAAAGCCAGATTCTCAAATGAATCCTCATTCAAACAGTGAAAGGAATGAATTATCTTGTAGTCGCATAGAGAAAACTTTGGACGAACTTGTTTCTCGTGTTGCAAAGATTGAAGACTTCTTTTTGAGGTTTGAGGAAAAAATGGTGAAGCCAATTAGCAACATGGAAGGAAGGCTTGAAAGGGTAGAACAGCAATTGGAGTTATTTGCCAAGACTGTAGGTTCTGTGAAAGCTTGCAATAGAATTTCTGCTCCAGATTTCTCTGGCATTGATTCTGAATCCAAGTCCATCTTCAATGAAGGAAATGGTTCTCCTAGTACTACAAATTCTGAATCAATCAAGAAGGATGAAAGTCGCCCTCCAGACATGTCAATCCCATCCTCGGATGTATATTCATCTCCCTCTGTTCTACCCAATAATATGTCTTCATCCTCTTCCAATGCTGCCCCGCTAATTCCTAGTCTTGTTGTCACAGCACCGGACTTTTCGTGTGTTGATGATGAAGGAGAAAGTGACGCCTGTGAAGCAGTTAAGGACTCCCCAAAAGGCAATCTGAAGAAACCATTGTCTATTAATGATGCTCTAGCTTCTGCACTTGCTGGTTTCCTATCTTCGGCTTCCAAAGACACTGATGTGGTTGAAGAAACTGCTTATATCTCCAGTAAAGAAGAGAATGGGAGTCCTTGTCCGTCAGAGTCCTCAGACTCAATCCTATCTGATGAGCATGTTGTCTCTTCAGTCGATGTTGATTGGTATAATATTTCTACCAAGGACGATATTGTACTAACAGAGAAAGAGTTTTTTAATGCTGGCAAAGGTTTTGAAGAGACTACAGAATCTGTTGAATTACAAAACTGTGTAATTGAGGAAGGAAAGAGCGAGAAGTCCCTTGACATTTCTGTTTTGAATGAAGTTATTCTTGAGAATCTTGACGTAGTCAAAACAGATATTGATGATTCGAGATTAGACAGATTTGGAGAAGCTGATGATGACTCAAATCGTACTTTTATTTTTGGTTCCACTGACTCCCCTGCTATCGATTCCTCTACTGCTGCATCAGGAGTACCTGCAGCCATTATTGACTCCTGTTCTGGTGAGGAGATGGCAAGAGAGTGCCCTGGTATGCTGCTGAACATTTTGAAGTTACAAAGCCCTGCCGTTGTTGATTTTGGAACTCCTATACTGGATGTGAAATTCTTATCACAAGAGAAATTGTCTGCTACGTCGTCTTTTGATGCCCTATTGATGGATGTTCCTGATGTATGCAGTGAAGTTCCTTGTGTTGATGAAGATAATGCTACTTTTTTCAATGGGCAGCATGATTTAGTTATGATTGAGGATGGAGACTCCGCCATTTCAGAAACTCCTAATAACGAGTTTTGTTTAGATGATTATAACTTTGATTGCATACTTTCTAATAGAGAAGGACTGCAGGAATGTGGAATTCAAGATATGGGTGAAAGTCTTATATGATACTAATGTGTTATGAAATACATGTTTTGATCTGTAAATAGATATTCAACTTAAAATTTTATTTAATCAAATGCCTTCATCTTCTGCTGTAGCAAGCATTTTATCTGCCTTGGTGTGGTTGGTTCATGTGTTGTAAATTGAGTATCTCACCTTTTCTCAGAAGTTACAATGAGAAATCTGAGAATAATTTATTAGGAACCCTTAAATATTTTCCTAATGTTCAGCTGTGAAGGTAAACAGATCATGTAAGGTGCATCTTTCTCTGATTGATATTGCTCCAATTTTGAAGAACTTGCATTTTCCTTATCCATTGCTGAGGATGCCTTGCAAATATGACCTTGCAAATGACCACTGGTAGCCTATTGGATTTGCTCTATCAAACCCTATCATATCATATTAAAGTTTGGCATTGGTCTCTGGGCAACATTTCATACTATTCTGGAAAATTCTGTTTTTAAGATTGATATTTCCTGAGATGAGTATAAAGCTGGATTAATACTTTTATGATTGTGACTGGCTTAATTCTGATTTTCTGAGAGGAGAAAGTGAGATGATCGTGAGTATTTGCAGGTAACATCTTCTTATGCATTGGACTGCTAATATTTAAGTTGATGGTTCTGTTTATGTACGTGCTTATGCAACTTAATGGTTTTTATGGAATTTGTGCAACAGATCACATTCATAAGTTTGATGCATCCTACTTCTTCCAGAGTTCCAGCATACAAGTTGGTACTTTGGTAGTATTGACAGATAAATTCATTCTTGAGTCTTGATCTTCATGCAACCTTTTTATTTTCATGGCACTTAAACAGTGGTTGGCCAGATGGAAGTGTCAGGCTTTCTATTGCATTCATTGTAAGTCTACTTTGCTTCTGATACTTATAGCTGATTATGTGATCAATTTTTTGTGTATTTTTTCCCTTTAGCACCATTGGACCATTATCTTTGCATCAATGGTATTTAAATGGGTTGTATCAAGTGCTGTCTCTGTTAAGGTGAGTAGTCTCATCTATGTATTTTGGGAATAAGCTTCTGTACTTGCAAGAAATGAAAAGTTTGTTTGGGGGAAGCACTGAGGTTTTTGCTGTGGATACCTGTACAGTTTGCATCTATGCCTATAAATGTCTTATTCTTTTAATGCCATAATGGACAACTAACACAAATTTTGTGAAAGATCTGAGCTTGCTATATATCTTGCTTGCTTGGAAGCAATAATGCAAAAGACTCCAATTAGAGTTTCTGTGTATTAGCCAATAACTAAGCTTGTATGGGGGACACATGGAGTCCATGACTTCTTTCAAGCATGTTAGATGTCTAATGACTAATCCTAAGATGATTATAGTGCATTTGAGGGCATTCTATGTGTTGATTACTTTACAGCCTTGGATACATGGAGACTTTTGCTGTCATCTACAGAGAGGCTGATGGATACAAATACCAAAATTTAAAAAATTAAGAGTGATTTTTTTTTTTTTAATTTTTCTTTTCTTTTTATAAGTGTCTGCCCACACGTTTTACTCTCTCGAATCATTTGCTATTACATAAGTGTGGTGAAATGATTGTAGCACTGACAATTTTGTGCATGACAACTATGTATGGAGTACTTGATCTGAATATTGACTAGCTTAACACTGTTAGGGTACATACTAAGAAAGATTAAAACCACTAGAGTATGGGGTCAGATCACTTTCACCTTACCCCATTACTCTTGTATTTAAAGAGAAAAATAACCTGACCCCTTCCAGGGCTTCTGCGTTGTTGCCATCTCTTTGCACTGACATGTGTACACAATAAAGATGTATATATAGAGGCAAAGGAAGGTCTCCCTTTACATTGGATGTTATTGAGAGGCCTAAAAAGATCTAGTAATCAAGTAAGTGGACAATACCAGCTAGGCAGCTATGTCACAATTCTTCTACTTTTTGACAGAACTTTTACATCTTTGTTGCCTGCTTCTATAGTGAACATATGAGTATATAAAAGATAAATTAGAAGTGGATTCTTTCATTGTACAATTATTTCTCAGTTTCCCAGCTTTGTTTGGATGCAATTGTATCATGTGTTGGTGTATATTCCTGCAACTTGCACCGGTAAAAAGACAAATCATTCTTTGTGCTTTTTAAGTACTGTGCTAGTTCAAATAATTTGGTCTTTTTAGAATCTGCTTTTGGACAAAAGAAACATACCTCCATCTTCTTCAGCAGCTCTTCTGCTGATTCTGCTAAAATCACTATGTCTCTTTCTGTCTTTGCTATGAAACCCTCCTCGACCCCTTTATCAAATAATGTAAGCAAGTTGTTGAAGAATCCACCTACATTTAACAAGCCAACCTTTTTTTTGGTGGGAGAAGTTTGTGGTTAGAACAATAGTCAAGGGGGATATTAAACAAAAAGGGGGAGATTATCTAAAAGCATTAGAGGAATTCTTACAGGTTTTCCATGAATTCCTAACTGGGACCAAGTTATCATCTCTAAAAGTTCTTCCATGGTTCCATAACCACCTGAAAATTAAAATCTTGAATTTTCATATCCTTTCCTATACAACGAATGATAAGACTATTAACTGTGAAAGGATGTGTATCTGTATGCTGGACCATTCCCTACCAGGAAGAGCAATAAAAGCATCAGCATGCTTTTCCATTTCTGACTTCCTTTGATGCATGTCTGCAACTATCTTTACTTCTCCGTGTGTTTCTCCTACTATCTAGATTGAATTGTTGTTATCAGTAAAGAACTTCTGAAGAGTACATTAGCTATTATGAACATGAAGATGTGATACCTCAATTGGTAGGAGCGGTCTAGGGATTACACTGTAAAAGATAAACATGAGTACACTCACTAATCAAAACATTTAATATATCAAAAGATGAATGTATAAAGGTAAACTGTCAGTGTTCTCACTCTCTATCCTTTATTTAACCCCATGTTTTACTATGAAATGGTTATTAAGGCATACCCGAGAACATGGCATCCACCTTGAAATACTGTCTTAGATATGGTTCCCATAAGGCCTATACTTCCTCCTCCATAAACCAAATCAATTTTTCTTTCCACCTGCAGAAACATATCATTGTACATTCAATGTTGTCAAAAATGAAATGAAAAGAAACCTAGTTAAAACACTTAAATACGAGGATTTACCAGTGCTTTACCAAGTTCAAGAGCTGCTTCATCAAATAGGGGTCTGTATCCAGCTCTGCTACCACAGAAAACACAAATACTCCTAAATCTCCTGTCATTGATGCTTTTTGATGGTATCACTTCCATTTTCCAAATTGTCAGGGTTGGAGAAAAAGGATTCAATGCTCTGAAACAGTGAGATTACTATATTACTGTGAAAAACTAGAAATGAAAGGAAACATTTCTCTGCCCCTCCCCCTCCCTCTATATAGCACCTCTTGTCTGCTTGGAGTAGTCGTTTGAGGAGAAATGTCTAGCAGTAGGCACTCAGTTTTTCTTATAAGTTCCTCTTGCAATTATCCCATATTCTGTGGTCTCTTGTCCTGTGAAGTTTTTTAAAAAATAAAAATAAAAAATCAAGTTGTTATCTGCTAGTAGTTTGCTATTTATAGAGTTGGTAACCATGCATAAGAGTGAGCCATCACCAAACTTTGAGTTGGATGTTGACTTTTAGAAGAATCCTTTTGTAAGGTCTTTAGGTGGACCATGCATGGAAAACAACAAAACTAGAAAGGTATGCATAAGCTGGCCTTCCCTCTCTCCCAGGGAAACTACATACACTATACAGTATTCATCATTTTGTTGAATTCTTGGGAGAATCCACTTCAATTGGTTCGCTTCTATCTGATCATTTATGTCTTTACCTACATTATTATAAATTTATAACCACCTAATGGTTTGAGCTTTGAACCATGCAGTGTAAGGTTTTTTTTTTTTTTTTTTTTTTTTTTGGGGGGGGGGGGGGTAGACTAGATTAAGACTAATGCAAAATTTTTATTTTTGCATAACCTGTTATATTAACTGTTATCCCCATTTAATGTTATTTAAGAGAAGAGTATCTTCAATGCAACTGTAAAATTTACTTGCCTTCCGATCATGAAATTGAGTAGTACCCTAGCAAATAGAAATTTGGGTGAAGATGTGCATAGAATATTCTCTTTTTTTAAAACATGTTTACATGTCAACTAGTTTCTGTCTAAATTAAGCAAACTGCATTGTGTAACTAATTTGTGTTGGCCCTCACAATGCTGAAAATGCTATACATGATTATTCTACAATTCTGTCATTTTCAGAATCTGACATTTATAAGCATCACCTTTTCTGCTAAAAGAGATGAAGGGGTGGATGACAAACATTGCAACTTTTATCATGCATTCATGTTGTTAATTGAATCTTCAAAAAGCAGAGTACGATGAGGGATTGGGAATTTATATTTGATGAGAGATAAAAGCCGTGAAGCAGTTGTTCATAAAGTTCTAGATGTTTTCTTTACATAATAAGATTCCATGTAGGAGTAAATTTAGGACAGCCATTGAAAATGGGCGATAGGGCGTAGTATATGCCTATATGGTTGTTAGTCTTTTGCTGATATATGATTCTCTTGTACTTTGAACTCAAAAGAAGACTGTTGAAAGTGTGGTTTACGAATAGTATCCTTGACTAGTGGTTGTTAAATAGGTGATTAATGTAATATCTTAGAACTCATGGAGCCAAAGTATCTTGTGGCTTTATTGTGGTCCTAGCTAGAGGCCTTACCGCCTTAGTAAGTACAAAGGAACCTCCTGGCCTCCTTTTCTATTTTCATTAGGAGATATGTCGATTGTTGACAGTAACATGTTTGCTTGTTGATCATTTTTTCGATTGGGTTTGCTTTGTTTTGATGCATCAAGTCTCTTAGAATATAGTTACGTAAAAGCTTGCTTATGTTACAGAGTGCATCTACAGGGCTCAAGACAAATGAGCATTTGACATAATGATTAATTCTTGTGAGTTGTGATGGGTGGTTGCATTTTAGGTGACTTTGGATTGAGTATGCTTGGTTAATTTTCGTGCTGTTGGAAATTACCAGGGTGTTTTTGGCTGTTGTTATATGATGGGTTTCACCCTTTTTCAAACATGGATGTTATGCTTATGATGATGAATGAGTACAGTAAGTCACACTTTGGTAAGGGGCCCTAAAGTGTTGTTTAAATTTTGAAGCCTCAATTGTAGACAGCAAGGCTAAAAGCACTCAAGTCTTGTCTCCTGTTTCACTTGTGTTAGCAGAAGTTTTTAGGCCGCTGATTTGTTTCCTGATATCTTATATTGCTAGTACAGCTACACCAATGCAGACCACACCAAGCATTATGAGGGATATATGCAGTTTTATCGTTACGATAGGATAGGGCAGACAAAGAGAGGCTGTTTTTAATTTACACGTGAAGTTATCACGATTATCATTACCGGAGAAGAGTGACTAAATCATTTTCCGTTCAAGTTATGTATCAGGCATTGGACAAAAAAGAAATGCCTTGCCTAGATTTACCCTTTTCCAAGCATAGCTGCTAAGCTCCAATTCCAGCTTCTCAAGGTCATGGTCAGTTTTGGATGTATTGACCTTTACATTTTTATCCTGGGTTGTATGAGTTGTCTCGTTGTTTCTTTCTGTATGAGATGTTGAAAAAAAACTCTTAAGATGGTGTAGATCTCTCACAAAGCCTTAGCATGCCCTCTGGATATTGAGCCTTTCGTAGTATATGACAAAGGTTCGTCGAATGAAATTTGATTACTATGCTTCCCGTGAAACCCACCCCACCCCCTTCTTCTCCCCCTCCCTGCTAAGTTGAGTACAAAAAATGTGCTGTTTTAGTTTGACTACCAAGCAGAGAGAGAAAAAAAACTGCATGTGAGGGATAGCTTGTGCTTTCTAGTAGCACTTAGGTAGTTTCCTAGCCAAGAAGTGAATTTTAACTGGTATATCTTAGAATCTGAATGTCTATTTTGGTTTCCCAATTCATGTACCAGGTTATTCCTGTTAGAATTTCTGGTCTGTTTTGAGTTTGTAAATCATCAAAAACTAATGCAAGGAAATTTTATCATATAGTAAATGGATCTACAGGATCGTGTTCATTCATGTTGTTTCGGATCTATCTTAAAGTTTGTGTTCGGCTCGGGTTGTGTTGTAGTATTAGGACATAGATTACCAGCTTCAAAGCCTTCTACATAGTGTTAACTTGTTACCTACAAGTATTGGTTTGAGCTTCAGTGATTTTAGATTAGTAAAATGATGACCTCATGTTGCAGTGTATACTAATCACTAAACGTAGCCCTCTTTTATGGGTTATTATTGGTCTGAAATTTTTTTGTATAAATTAACAAGGCCTTAACCTGGCCCAACTCAGGTTTGGGCCTTGGCCCTCCAAAATCCGGTGAACATGAGTCCATACCTGAATGTAGAGCTGTTAAAAGTTGACCCGACCCGAAATACTAACTCAAACCTGATTATTAACCGACCCATCTGAACCCGAAAAAATGGTGACCTAAACCCGACCTGAAACCAACCCTAGACCCGAGTTGACCCGAGTATGTGAGACCCGAACCCGAACATGTACTATCTTGGAGATGAACCCGACCCGAATGTAACCCGTAAATTATTGACCTGAATCGAACCCGACTTGAACCTAAATTGACCCAAACCCCGTTTTAACCCATCAAAACCCGAATTTAACCCGACTTTTTACTAACCTGACCTGAATTCAACCCGACCCGAATTTAACCCAACCTGTTACAAACCCGACCCAAAATCAACCGACTTGTTATTGACCTAACCCAAATTCAACCCGACTTGTTATTGACCCGACCCGAATTTTACCAGACCTTAACCCGACCCAAAAATTCAACGCGATATGTTACTAACCCGACTCGAAAGCAACACGACTTGTTATTGACCCGACCTAAATTCAACCCAAATTGTTCCTAACCCGATTTCAAATCACATTAAATGCAATTTAGACCACCTTATTATTGTTGACCAAAGCATATTTTCTAAGGAGACCAAATCGGTCCTGGCCAGTAAAAGAAAGGAGCATCATCCTCAAATTTAAGAGTTAAATATATATGTATATAGTATATATTTGTTGTATGGTCAAAGGAGATAATTATCTTCCTAAAATATAAACTATAGTTCTCTAGTATATTGCCATATACATTTTAGTCAAAGGAAATAATTATCTTGATAAAAATGATAATTTTCTATTTAAAGTTAGTTGAACCCGAATATGACCTGACTTGGAAATGACCCAACCTGATTGTAACCTACAAATTTTTGACTAGAACATAACCCGACTTGACTCCAAGAATGACCCGAATTGGAAATGACCCAACATGATTATAACCCTCAAATTATTAACTTGAACCGGACCCGACTTGAACCCGAGAATGACTCGACTTGAAAATGACCAGACCTGATTATAACCCGCAAATCATTGACTTAACCGAACCCGACTCAACCCGAGAATAACCCGACCTGATTCTAACCCGCAAATTATTGACTTGAACCCCCGACTCGAACCCAAGAATTACTCTAACCAGTTTTAACCCGTGAAAATCCGAATTAAACCCGACCTATTGTTCACCCGACCTGTTATTAACCCGACCTAAACTGCATTATATGACAACATATAATGATCATATATGGTTCAAGTCTACCACAAACATTTATGGCCAATTTACCGATTTACAACTTGCACCAATTTCATCAATTCAAGCTTACCACGAACATTTATGACAACATATAATGATCATATATGGTTCCAAACGGCATTGTATGACCTCGAGATGTATCTCCTTAAATCCCAAGTCTTTTCGACACTGGCCCCGAAACCTCCAAAATTTCTCAAAAAACGTGGATATTAGCCTTTAATTTTGGAATTTTTTGACTTTTTTCACCCGAAAATAAAAATTGCCGAAATGTTTACCACGTTCCCTAATACCCTTCGGGAGTCCAATTGGCTGGGTGGAACCATCCAATTTGCCTTTAAACAACCAATTTACCAATTCACAACTTACACCGATTTCATTAACTCAAGCTTACCACGAACATTTATGACAACATATAATGATCATATATGGATCCAAACAACATTATATGACCCCGAGATGTATCCGCTAAAATTTCAATGCTTTTCGACACCAGGCCCCGAAACATTCGAAATTTCTCAAAAAACGTGGATATTAGCCTTCAATTTTGGAATTTTTTGACTTTTTTTTTTGCCCGGATATAAAAATTACCAAAATGTTTAACATGGTCCCAAATACCCTCCGGGAGTCCAATTGGGTGGGTGGAACCATTGACAGGCTAAAGTCGTAATCACCTAATCAAAAGTATTACCTAAATCCACTAATTATGTAGATAGGGAAGAAGAGTCGAAGCACATGGAAACAAGTCAACTTATTCCTAATTAATAGTATAATCTAAATTATCAAATAACCAAATTGTTATTATAAAAGGGAACTAAACTACTAAGAGTAAAAGTGGGAAGGAATAGAAGTGGGAGGAAAATCAATGAGATAAAAGCCTAGGGAATAGAGTCGCTAATAAACAATATTCCAGGGTAAAACATAACAATCAATCATCAATGCATCAATTAATCAGATCATAAAGGGATTTCACTACGTATTACAATCACAGAGTTAATTTATTGGTATTAAATCTCATCTCTCGAATCTCGACTTAACCATTTATAAATTAGTCCACCTATTGAAACTAAGCCTAAACATCAATTCTCATCTCTCGAATCTCGAATCAATATTGCTAAACTCATACAATTAAACCAGGACTAATCTAATTGCATAGCATTAAATCAATCAATAGGAAATTAATTAAGCATCAATAATCAACAATAATAAA